TTGTAATTTTTAATTTGTTCAAACAATTGTATATATACTATTTTAACTTTTGACTTAAAAGTCTAATTCAGATTTTATAATATATTTTTTAAAATCTTTTTAAATTGTAAGTTTACATCCACAATTTTTGTAGATGAGCACTGATGATGGCAAATAAGCCGAAAGCGCTTTGCATTGATTAATAAAAAAGTTTTGCACGAAATACAAGTTTTTCCTTTTGAATCTAAACTACGTGCACACAGCTGTCAACCTTTTTTGTTTTTTTTTAAATAGATTCACTTTACATTGGGGCAGCCAATTTCTAAGTTTCTTAGAATTGTAGTGACCTAAATTAAAATGATCCACTTGTTATCAAGTATCTAATTTTTAAGAAAAAAATCTAACACTACCGTCAACGTTTTATAATATAAATAGGAAATTAAAATCAAATGCAATAACCATAATTTTTAAAACTTATTTGAGTTGAGTCACTCTATTACTAAGAACCCGATATTTATGTATAATGATGTAAAATATATAAAAAAAGAATAATTTAGCCCTACCAACGTGACGTTGCGTTTCACGATAATTTTTTTTTATATTTTTAGTCTCGCGTATCATTTCCGACAATCTAATTTTCCTAGATATTAAAAGTTCGTCGACCCAAGCGCGAATTCGCGAAGATAGTTGAGTTCCTTATGTAAATATCCTACGGCCAAGGTTAGAATGACAATCAAACAAATTCGAGTTGGATATAAAACGTCGACAGAGAGCATTGTAATGTTTTTTTGTTGTTTGTATTTTCGTAACTTATCTTATTTGGTTGCCGCTTATTTTTTTCAGTTAGTAGGTAAATCGAATCGAGTTGCGTGGGAAATATACCGGGTGGCCTCGGCAAAGCTGCGTGTATATCGGTGGGAAGAAATTAGCTGAGGATTTATTTAAAATATGGTTTAGAAAACGGTTTTTATACAATATATCCCTCAATTCAGTAGTTTTAATTGACGATGGATGCTTTTTATCACTCTTATTATTATTATTATTATTACTGATTAACAACATATATTTATGTAAGGGGGCGTCCATTAATTACATGAGGTGTTCAAGGGGGGAAGGAGATCAAGCTAAGTCTTTCCAAATCTCACTTAGGGGAGAGGGGGGTCTTTTTAAATTTGACCTAATTTTTTTCTAGTAGAAAACGGTGTAACACAAATTTTGAAAAATTTTACGTGAGATTATTAGAGGGGGAGTTGAGGAAAATCTTACGAAATCTCACCAGCGGCGGAGCAGGGGGGATCAAAAATTCCTCAAAAATATCTCACGTAATTAAGCCAGATAGATGATCAATCAATTCAAATTATTTCTTTTCTCACACCATGCAAATGAGGCATTAGAATAGTAGTTTGTGCAACATGAGTGGATATGGATAATTCACTCGAGTTGTAAGTATATTTTTTCTACGACCCACTAACGAAAATCTACAAATTTTAAAAATTATTTTAGGTTATCTATATTATAAATAAGGCATAGACAAAATAGTTGTGTTTGTGAATTGATTTTCATTGTTTTTTTTTTTAATCTTTGTTTACTAGCTATTGACGAGTTCTAGTGTTATTAATAAACATTTTTTTCCAAGTTTTGATATGTGATCCACAATTTATGAATTATTACCGTCTAAAGCGAACATGAGCAAAAAAAATTGTCTCTGAAGTCAATATAAGTCATCTGGATGGTTGTAGGATCGAAAGTTATAAAAAAAAAAAAATCAACCCCACTCTCGCTATACACTAGTAGCGAACGAGCTGGGTTTTTATGGGACAAATCGTGATAAAAAGTATATGGATGGATTAAAAAAAAAATATAAGACATTTCGAACTCTTATGTTTCCCCCCCCTCGCTTTTTTCGGAAGAGGGGGTTAAAAAAAACTTGCAAATCGGAAAAAATTCTTACTATAGTATGTGTGGTAACCCCCCCCCGTTTTCAAATGCTGTAAGAATTTGAATATATGGTTGTATAGAGGGTCCTGAAAGTAAACTAAAAAATTGATGTTCCCCGTTCCCCCTACTTTTTGGGTCTGCTTTTTATTTTTTTATAATTATTGTCGATATATTTTATACGTAGTGTCAGCAGAGATCAAATGTAGTAAGGTGCTTGGTACTACCTTCCCCCTCCCCCCTTTTTTGGAAGTCTCAAAATGAAAATTTCACATTTATATTGTGCGCATGATGTATGGGACCAAAGTTCGAGCCGAGTCAGCCCGATCTCGTCCCCCCCACCCTTCAAAAAATTGTCAAGAGTGGACCCAAAATAAAAATTTTGGGATATTATTGTGCTAATAGTTAATGAGACTACAAGGAAAGGTTTCTGAGATTCATTGTATCCCCTTACTTTTTAAAAAGACGCCTTTTTTTAAAAGTGACTTTAAAGTAAGAGTGACTTAGGGATAAAATTGAAGAAATATTGTGTGGGTACTTTTTGGGACCAAAAGTCGAACGCTCCCCCCCCCCAATATTTTGGAAACAAGAGTAACCTAAAAATTAATTATTGATGAAATCCTTTTGGTAGGGTATTTGGGACCAAAATCTAAGAGTGTTGAAGGGTGTTCACTTACATCCAAAAATTATTATATTTTTTAATGTAACAAAATTCACACAGTTTATAAGATATTGAATTCTAAAAAGTTTAAGGTATATGACGTCCCCCCCTCCTAAAAATTAAAAAATATTAATTTTATTAATTTTAAAACATGAAAAAATGTTTTAAGTAATTTGATAGATTTTTAAAATAAATACAAAAATGTATATTTCGTTTCCCCCTTACCCCTCTTTTATACATTGCCTTATATTTTATATTAAAAAAAAAAAAATAAAATAAAATATAATTAATAAAGGTAGATTATAACACTTTTGATCCCCCAGGTTTTGTTCCCCCTTTTTCTATTTTTTAATTAAAAAAAAAAAAATTGGAATTTTGAAGAAAAAAAAATGGTGGCATGTTATTGGGTGAATTATTTTGAGAAAAAAATGTTAATTGGTGATACCCCAAACCCCTCCCCCCAAATACGAAAAAATTAGGATTTTTATATAAAAATTGGAAAGTTTTTAAGTTATATTTTTTATTATAAAAAAAAGTATTTTTTTTTAAAAAATCAGTCGGTGACCCCATAGGAGCCGCCTTATAATTTTCAGCGACCCCGTGCCTTATAATATTTAGCGCGCTTTATAATTAACAGCGACCCCGAAGGGGTCACTTTACAACAAATTAATCATTTTCGTTTTGTCAGCCTTCTCTTAAATATCTTCTAGGACGTCCCGCTGTTTTTACTGGTAAAATTAGCCTATAGCGAACATGAGCACTTTTAAATTTCGAACCGACATGAATAATAGTACATAGACGGATAGAGGATTGCGAAAAACGAAAAAAAAAAAAGTACTTCTCCCTTCACCCCTCCAACTTCCCTCTCCTATTCCTCTGCCACGCCTAAATGGTAAGGCATAGAAAAAAAACTAAAAGCGGGGACGCCCAACAGCCCTTCTTACTTTTCTCCCCACCATAATGGATGTCGACATATAAAACCGCCTAGACTTAGGAAAATGAAATTAGGGAACGATGGATTATACTTAGAGGCGAAAAAATGGACCCCGCCCTTCAATATAATAAAAAAAAGTCCACGGTTGTATGGAGGACCAAAATGTTGATTGACAGTTGATTTTATAACGCATATTAATGATTGGAACGGTATTATATTGTCTGGATTAGACTTAGAGTAGAAAAAATGTTTCCCCGTCCTTCAATATGATAAAAAAATCCCACGGTTGTATAGAGGATTAAAATTTTGAGGGACAGTTGATTTTATAACGCTTATTAATGATTGGAACGGTATTATATTGTCTGGAAGTTCTTTGGGAGGGACCATTATGATTGTGAGTTACTGTTATTTTATTGAATTCATTTTTTATTTAAATGCAATGGTACTGAACTATGTTGTATTGTAAATACATAATTATAAAAGTTTATGGTCTCAGATAGACAATAAAAAAATATGTCAAATGAAAAGAGAATCTCTAAGTCCGTGTCATGGCAAAGTTGAGCAACCGTTTCCCTCCTGAAAACAACTATTCCCTGAACTATTAACCAAGGAAGTAGTTGTTTTTAGGAGAGAAATGGTTGCACAACTTTGCTGTTACACGGACTTAGAAGATTTTCTTTTCCTTTTATATTCATTTCTAATTTTGTCAATTTTGTGAAATTGAAATTATTTTTCCCAATAAAAAAATGTTAGAAACATGCAAATGCAGATAGGTATACCGCAAACTCGTTCATGTTGCGAGACCTCGCTCTGCTCGTCGCGCAAATAGGGTTGCCAACTGTCCAGCATTTCGGTGGACGACCACCTTTTGCGGTGTTGTCCAGTGTCCTGCAACAACCTATTGCAGGACGCTTATTGTACTTAATTTTAGTGTTTCAAATAATATCTCCAATTTACTTATATTTTATAGTCACATTGGCATCGTCGCTCATTTTGTAATGTTTATTTTCTCTATTTGGGTCCAGTGCTAACGGTGAAAGAATATTTTCAATGTGTGCAGCTTCGTGGACTGACGCGCGTAATCGATTGTCCATTGAACACATCAAGGCCGAACTTCAAATAAAGATGAATTATTCTTATACCTACTTGCAAAGAATTATATTTTTTTAAAAGCTAACAAGAAATTAATAATAACTGCAAAAAGTAAAAAAAAATATGACTTTAAACGCAGTGACACTGTTAAGTAGCTTTAACTTTTTATATTATGTTCTTTTTAAATAAAATGTTTAATCATTAGTTTCTATTTACTTCGTTTTTTTTTTGTCGAATTTTTTATATTATCCTCGTCCAGAAAAATTAAAAAAACAAAGTTGGCAACCCTACCTACAAATATTTACTCTTTTCATAAAATAAGGCATTTCGCAACTGATTTCATAACTAGCTATTTTTATTATTAATATTATTGTTATTTTTACTGTTTGTTTTTTGCAGTCCTTGATGATGTCAACAGCGATGGACATGTTTCTGAGCGCCACGGATTCCTTGTCGTTTCCCGACATCCTGGACATCGATATCAAATCAGAGATCGATACTTTGGTGGGCGGTCACAACGACTTTTCCGGCTTCAACTTTAACGAAATGCCCTCGCTCGAAATGGAGGACGTGCACGACATCAAATGGTTCAACTCCAATTCCAACCATTCGAATTTGGACTTCAGCGGCGAAGAAGGTCCCACCATGGTCAATCCGAACGCCGTCATGCCGGTGATGTCGCTAGCTCAGAGTATTAGGTACTACTGAACGATTTTCTCTTAATAGTACAACTTTCTTAACCCCCCTTTTTATTCTTTTAGGTCACCTTCACCGACGTTAAAAGAAAGCCATCTGACTTTTTCGCCAGCTACCATCAAAATAGCAGCTATCAAACCCGAAAACCAAACTGTGAAGAAAGATTTGACCTACAGATTGGCGGAAGTGGTCGAGAAAAAACCCATGATTAAAACGATTACTAAAGTGGCGCCCATCTTAGCTAAACCCGTCGTCAAAACTCTCACTAAACCCACTATACTTACTTTTAGGTAAGTTATCATATATATACAATAATTGATGTTTGAAATGTCAACCATCTTAGAACGTTTGACGTTTAAAGCGTCAAATTACAATTTATAGTTTATATTTCAGCTATAAGTTTAATTTGTTTTCTCTCAGTAAACTTTGTAGATTCGACCTGAAATATCAACAATCATTGAATAATTGACGTTTGAAGCGCCAATTTGCGATTAGTCATTCATATTTCAACTCTGAATAAATATTTGAAGTTTAATTTGTATTTTGTCAGTAAACATTGATAATCACTTTGTAAATTTGGTTTTAAATGTCAACAATCATTGAATAACTGACGTTTGAGGAGCTAATTTGCAATTTATCATTCATATTTCAACTTTGAATGATTATTTCTATTTTGCCAATAATCTTGATAATCTACTTTGTAGATTCGGCGTGAAATGTCAACAATCACTAAATAACTGACATTTGAGGAGCTAATTTGCGATTTATCGTTCATATTTTAACTCTGAATGAATATATGAATCTGTGTAAACATTGATAATCTACTTTATAGATTCATCGTGAAACGTCAACAATAATTAAATAATTGACATATAAAGTGCTAATTTGCGATTTATAATTCATGTTTCAACTGTGAATAAATATTTAAAGTTTAATTTGAATTCGGTCAGTAAACATTGACAATCTACTTAGTAATTTCAACTTGAAATGTCAACAGTCATTGAGTAACTGACGTTTGAGGAGCTAATTTGCAGGTTATGGTTTATATTTTAACTCTTAATGAACATTTGAAGTTTAATTTGAATTCTGTCTGTAAACATTGATAATTTACTTTGTAGATTCATCGTGAAACGTCAACAATCATTAAATAATTGACATATGAAGCGCTAATTTGCGATTTATCATTCATGTTTCAGCTCTGAATGAATATTTGAAGTTTAATTTGTATTCTTTCGGCAAACATTGATAATCTACTTTGTAGATTCGGCTTGAAATGTCAACAATCATTGAATAACTGACGTTTGAGGAGCTAATTTGCGGGTTATGGTTTATATTTTAACTCTTATTGAACATTTAAAGTTTAATTTATATTTTGTCAGTAAACATTGATAATCTACATTGTAGATTCGGCATGAAATGTCAACACTTATTGAGTAACTGACATTTGAGGAGTTAATTTGCGGGGTACAGTTCGTATTTTAATTCTAAATGAACATTTGAAGTTTAATTTCTATTTTGTTACTAAACATTGATGATTACTTCGTAGATTCGTGAAATGTCAACAATCATTGAATAATGTTTGAAGCGCTAATTTGCGATTTATCGTTTATATTTCCGAATAAATATTTTAACTTTAATTTGTTTTCCGTCAGTAAACATTGATGACTGATATTTTACTCTTTAGATTTGAAGTGAAATGTCAACTAATATTAAATAATTGACGTTTCAAACGTTAATTTGCAATTATTTATTGTTTCTATTTCAACTCTAAACGAATGTTTAAAATTTAATTTATATTCTATCTAAAATTGATATTTTAGTTTTAGTTCGTCGATTATGGTTGATTAATTAACGTTTGAAACGCCAGTTTCGATTTATATAGTACGTATTTCAACTGTTCAAAAAAGTTTAAATTATAAAATTCTAATATATTGACGTGTTAACATCGTAGATCTGTTATGAAATGTCAGTAACATTTGAAACGTCAATTTTCTGTTTATATAGTTCCTATTTCAACTGTTCAAAAACATTTAAAGTGTAAATTCTAATATATTGACGTTCAACAACGTATATCTGTTATGAAATGTCAATTAAAATTTGATATTCATATTTTATGATGTCAAATTGTCAATAATAGTTGAAATGAGTTTAATCCAATTAGAAAAATTATGAATTATCGGTTATTTAAACATTTCATGTTTATAAAGTGGTCTAGTTTGCTGTAAACATAAAAACACGTCATATGATTGACATTTAAAATACATAATGACAGTTAACTTTGAAATTAGGCTTTGTCAACTGAACACAGTCAATTGAACATCATTTTGAATGATTGACAAAATTTTGAGTAGGTAATCATTGAAATTTGACAGCAAATGATCATATTATTGACGTTATTGTCAAGTCAAATGAACAATATACGCTTAAATTTTTTTATCAAACGGTAGAAAACTTTTATACGAGGACATTGCAGCAAACCTAATAAATTAAAATTAAGACCAATTATTGAAGAAATCAGGTCACATCGATGACTTTTTGCCTGACTAACATAAACAACATTTGTTCAAATGACATTTACGATAGTCTGACAAAATGCTATAGACATACAAAGCTATTTCTTCCTTTACTATTTTTTTCAGGCTTTTTACGTAAAAGACTTTTTTATTTAGGGTATTTACATTCAAAAGTTGAAGAAATTTATCAATGTCAGCTGTCAATAGTATTGTTGGGTAGATCATAGGCCTAACCATAGATGGACATGATATAACTAATGTTGTAAGGAGCAGCATTTTGTTTTTTTGACACAAATAGATCAAATTAAATTGAACAAAAACATACAGACTCTGACTAATAATAAATTAATAGACAATGTTTTGGCATTACTGACAGCTGCTATTGACACGTTTTTCAATCTTTAAATAAATGTAAATAATCCTTAACTACAAAGTATTTTTACGTTACGGTTCAGCATAAAAGTAGATACAAAAACCAAAAAAGTGAACACAAAGTGACCCGATATCTTATGTCATTAATGTCAATTTTATTTTGAATTATAGAAGTCATCTATTGAAATTGAGAGAAATCCTACTTGTCAGTTGTCAAATGTCAAACGTTTGACATTTAAATTGTTACTTAGAGAGGAATCGTTGAAATTTGACGTTTTTCAATCTGTCAGTTGTTAATTATTATCAAAAAACTGATATTAAACAGTCAATTTGAGATTTATCGCGTTTATTAACGTTTTTTCGGCATTTTTCCTAACAGGAATGCAGTAAATCGATCAATAGCATCACCCATGAGCGTCACGCAAGTCAACAACATCACGACCATACGAACGGTCGCTCCTTCGACGATCAACCGTAAAGTCGTCAACACACGACCGTTATACGGCGACGACGAACGCGCCTTCCCCAAACCGGCGTACAGTTACAGCTGCCTCATCGCCATGGCGCTGAAAAACAGCCGATCCGGCAGCCTACCCGTATCGGAGATATACAATTTCATGTGCAGGCACTTTCCCTATTTCAAAACGGCCCCCAACGGTTGGAAGAACTCCGTCAGACACAATTTGTCGTTGAACAAGTGCTTCGAGAAGATCGAAAAGCCCGCGCTGAACGGAGCGCAGCGGAAGGGATGTTTGTGGGCCATGAACCCGGCGAAGATCAGCAAGATGGACGAGGAGGTGCAGAAATGGTCGCGGAAGGATCCGCACGCTATCAAACGCGCCATGGTCAATCCTGGTGAGTTGAGCGTTGTTAAAGTAATATAGCCATAAATTTACGAGTTTTGGTTTTCTTTTTAGAACATTTGGAATCGTTGGAGCGCGGCGAAATGAAGTTCACATATTCCTACGACGAAGGCAGCGCCGAAGAACAAAGCGAGGAAGGTTACGATTCGGGTAACGACGTAGAAGAAACGGCAGTCGTTAGCACCCAATACGAATATATACAAGAAGAGGATACGTCGGATTTGGATATAGAGGTGAGTTGTTTTTTTATTTTCGTTTATACATGCAGCGAAGGAGAGGGCTCGGGAGAGAACCTTGAGGGACTCGCTTTAATTTTGTAATCGTGAATTGAGATTGTATTCTTTGGATTTTCAGTACGGAGAGATCGAGGACGATCAAGAGCTGCTTAGAGTGGAGATGGCGCTCGCGCAAAAGGAACTCTTAGAATACGAAAGAACGGTGAACAACAAGAGAAGAAGAACGTATATATTACAGCACTAGGTTAGTTACATTTAAGTTAGTTTCGTTTTACGAAGAGAATGCCGTCGAAAAAAAGAATGTCGATTTTTTTATGTTCGTGAAACGCGACCAAACTGATTTTCTTTTTTTTTTTCTAAGGAAAAAGCGAAGCTGTGTCTGATCGGTGATATATATAAAAAAAAATGTAAATAATTGTAATAACCTTTCTCCTGCCCGTGTAACTTTTCTTAGGGATTTAAGTAATTTAAGCGTTTGATTTTTTCGTTTTTTTTTTAAAGAAAAGCAACAAGACTGCCAATTGTGACAATTATTTTTTCGTTTTTTAAAAATAATCATAACGATGATAATACGTGGTGTCGACGTCCTGTCAAAAGAGAAAATTTCAAAAAAAAAAAAAATAAAGGGACGAAAACGTTTTAGATATTTGTCCTGTTTATCGTTTTTTTTTTAACGTATTTTTTAAGTTTTCGATGATTGTGGGACTGGCGACGATTTTAATCTGATGACAGCTGACAAAACCGAAACGTCAAAATTGTCAATCAAAAGTCAAAGCTGTCAAATGTCAAAGGTGTCAACGTCAAATGACAAAGCTATCACTTTCGATTCTGACACCATGGTATCAACACTGAGATGGCGGTCTCAGAATCGGGAGTGAGGAGTGAATGTTTCCGTAAAAATCGTTAACAAGAACAGTCATCGAGAAGTGAATATTATCTGATGTGATTAGTTATTTAGTAGCAAGAATAGTGCGTCAAAATTTTTTGAATCTGAAGATTATAAATTGTCACATGGTGTGTTGTGCATCCTGTGACGAAAAAAAGAAATTTCCTTTAAAATATCCACCTTTTATATAAAAAACTCCGATACAATTACCCTAGGCCGAATAGCCCTGGCATCTGAGGCCTACAAAAATTGAATTGAAGAAGAAGAAGAAGAAGCTGTCAAAAATATTGACAGTTAACACGAAAAACGCCAAAAAGGTTGACTACTGTCGAAAATATTGTCATTTAAAACAAGACGTCTCAAAGCTGTCAAAATGGTTGACATTCAATGCAAGAAACCTCAGCCGTCAAAATTGTTGAAGTTTAATGTCAGAAATGTCAAAAACGTTTTTATGGAAGTTAACGCGAAATACGACAAAGTTGATAACCATCAAAAAAGTAGTTGACAACCGTCAAAAAAGTAGTTGACAACCGTCCAAAAAAGTATTTGACAACCTTTTAAAAAGCTGACAACCGTCAAAAAATTTGACAAATGTCAAAAAGTTAATAAACATTAAAAAGATTGACAAACTTCTAAAAAGTCGGCAAACAAAAAATATTGATAATCGAAGCAAGAAACCTTTAAAGTTGTCAAAATTGTTCGTGACTAACGTGAAAAATGTCAAAAAGTTGATGAACATCGAAAATATTAACATTCAATGCAAGAAATCTTAAGTTGTCAGAATTGTTGACGTTTAGCCCTAGAAGTGTCAAAAGTTGACAAATATCGAAAATGTTGACATTCGATGCAAGAAACCTCATAGCTGTCAAAATTATTAACAAATGTCAATAGATTGACAACCTTCAAAAAATTGAAAGAAACCTTAAAGCTGTCAATATTGGTCACCATTAACGCGAGAAATGTCAAAAAAGATGGCAAACGTCGAAAATGTTGACATTCGATGCAAGAAATCTCAAAGACGTTTTAAGGGAGAAACTTCAAAAAAGTTGACAAACGTCAAAAATATTAAAATTTGAAGTAAAAAACGTCAAGCCAACAAAATTATTGACGTTTTGAGAGAAATGTCAAAATGTTAACAATTGTCAAAAAAGTAGACAAATATCCAAAATATTGACATTCGATGCAAGAAACCTCATAGCTGTCAAAATGATTCGACATTTATTGCGAGAAACGTCAAAAACGTTGACAAACGTCGGAAATGTTGATATTCGATGCTAGAAACCTCATAGTTGTCAAAATGATTGACGTTTAACGCGAGAAATGTCGGAACACGTTGACAAACGTCGAAAATATTGACAATCGAATTAAGAAAATTTACAGCTGTCAAAATTGTTGACGTTAAACGCAATAAACGTAAAAAAAGTTGACAAATGTGGAAAATGTTGATATTCAAAGCAACAAAACTCATAGCTGTCAAAATTATTGGCGTATAACGCGGGCAACGTCAAAAAAGTTTACGATTGTTACAAAAGTTGACAAACGTCAAAAAATTGACATTCGGAGCAAGTTAACTGAAAATTATCAAAACTATTCACGATTACGCGAGAAATGTCAAAAAAGTTGTCGACCGTCAGAAATGTTGACATCCGATGCAAGAAATCTTAAAGCTGTCAAAATTATTGACGTTTACACGATAAATGTCAAAAAAATTGACATTGGAAACAAGACACCTCAATTGTAAAAATTATTGACAGTTAATGCGAACAACGTCAAAAAAAGATTATAGTTGTTGAAAAAGTTAACAAGCGTCAAAGAAATTGATTAATGTCAATGTCAAAAAAATTGACAAACGTCAAAGAAGTTAACCAAAATTGTTGACGTTAAACGTTGACAAACGTCGAAAATGTTGACATTTGAAGCAAGAAATATCAAGGTTGTCAAAATTATTGACGTTTAACACAAGAAATGTCAAATAAGTTTACAAACGTCAAAAATGTTGACATACAAAGCTAAAAAACTTAAAATTGTTAAGGTTTAACGCGGGAAATGTCAAAGTTGACAGACGTAAAAGAAGTTGACAAACGACATTTAAAGCAAAAACTCGAAAATTTTGGCATTTGACATGGATGTTTGACAAGAATGATGTTTCGCGTTTTAATGTATGACACGTAGCAATATTAGAGTAATTTTGGATACTTAAAGGATCAAAATTAACAAGTTATAAAGTAATTCAATTTAAAACACTATATTAGTGTTGTTTTGTAAATATAAATAAAAAAAAAATAATCTCATATTTAATTTAATTGTGTTGTACGAATTTTGTCGTTGGCTGTCATCATCTGTAGAAAAAAATCATAATAGAAGTTGTGCCTTGTTCCAAAGAAAAAAAATCCAATTTTAATTTTTTAATTTTCTTCGCTACATACATGACAACACACGATTAAGGGACCACAACAGTTGCACATTTAATAATTAATATTAATACAAAAACAAACTTAATTTTCGACCGTTTTTTGTTTTTTAAATAACGATAATAATGTCGACCTCTTTATTTAGCTATGTATTTTTTTTTTTAATTTCAATTTAAATCTCGCAAATGTGATATATGTATTCCATGTTTTCATGGCCTGTTACGAACTTTTAGGTTTTTTTTTTAAACATTTAATCATTTTTGTTCGTATAATTATCGACTGTTTTCGAGTGTTCTAATTCCTCTTTTATACCGCCCAGAAACGTCAATTGTCACAACCGTGTCAAATACAAATGACTGTTGACATTTTATCTCTCAACTGTCATTTGTATCTTTGACAATTGACGTTTTAAAGTTGTAACGCGGATAAAAGAGGAATCGGAAGTTCCATTTCTAATGTTAGTTGTATTCGTGTAAGGAACGGATGTGTCAAAACGAGTTTTAACCAGTTGATTGGTGGGAATTTGATTAGAAAATTAGGACAATCTAAGAAAAAATAGTAATTGGGTCATCAGAAGAATCCTAATTTTTCTTTTAGGAAAGCGATGAGTGTCGGCAAAAACGTGTAAGGTTTTAGTGTTTAAAAGTTTATAAACGTGTTTGACAGCTGTCAATCGTTACTGTAGTTTCTTTCCTTTTATATATGTTTGTTTCTAATTTCTAAACCACTTATTTTAAACATAATGTACTCTTTTTGTTGGTTACTAAACTAACCTAACCCTTTTCCTTCCATTTTTCTGTTTAAACTACACTGTTACCTCAATTACCTCGGTCTCGCTCCCATTTCAGCCAAATGTTACCCCTATTGGTTAAACTTTTCATCCAAATATTACAAATAATCCCTTTTCCAAAGTTGTTCTATAATTTTTACCCTATTTTTTTCAGAAAGTAACCCTTACTCCTTGTCAGCAAAAAAAAAAGTTAAAAATGTGTAAATGGTTCAAATATTATCTCTTCTAAATTATTGTTGTTTTCTGACTCTCTGGAACAGTTTATTACAGATTACCTTTTCTGAAAAATGTCTATGACTTTTCTCGATTTTTTTCTAATCAGTTTTCATGTAATTTTCTACAATTTTTTCCAGAAATGCAGATTTTCATCGAAACGTCGTGACGTTTGACAGTTGGCGCCAAATTTACGATTGACATCTGTCAATCGTCATCGATGTGATGTTTGATAGAATTGTCATCGATACTACTTGACATCTGTCAATCGTCATCGATATAAAGTGACTTTTGACAGAATTGTCGTCGATACACCTTGATATCTGTCAATCGTCATTAATTTGACGTGACGTTTGACAGAATTGTCATAGATACTACCAATGAACTGGAGTGGGGTAGAAAGCTAATGTGCATATTGTATCAATTGAACAAGATGCGACTCGATGGGCGCAGCCATTTTTATTTCTCATCTCACTCGGGAGTATTTATAATAACCATTTTCTGTTTCACATTGTTATTGTTCAATCCACAGGCTGGTGGATCAGACAATAACAAAGTGAAATAGAAAATGGTCGTTATAAATACTCCCGAGTGAGATGAAAAATAACCTGTCTTCGCCCATAGAGTCGCATCTCAAGCCTATTGACAAGCATTCTACCCCACTCCAGTTCATTGGATACGACTTGATATCTGTCAATCGTCATTAATTTGACGTGACGTTTGGCAGAATTGTCATAGATATGATTTGACGATTGAACTTCTTTAGACATCTGTCAATTGTTATTGAAATAATGACATTTGACAGGTGTCGTTCGAAGGATCGTCGATGCTAAAACCTTTTCAGGGTTTTGAATGGATTAAAATTTCTCTCGGCCTAAGAGTGTGTATGTGTGTGTGTGATTAATAGAGAAACGTTTGAACAAAAATGATTTTTTTACGAGGTA